CCCCCCCCCCCCCCCCGTCGCTCCCCTCGAGAGAAAGCTCCGGCGCGTGCCATGTCCGGGCCGAGCGGCAGTCTCTCGCGGCCGGTCACCCCACTGCCGAGCGGCGACTCGCTGTCCGACAGCGAGGGCGCCGACTCGCTGATGGCCTCGTCGGCCAGCGCCGATGTCGTCCTGGCGGCCGGCTCGCCGCGGCTTGACGATGGCCCGGTCCCGGGCCGTCGCCAGCGCGCCTCCTCCCTGCAGTCCCTCGATCCGCCGGACCTGGAGCCCATCTTCCCGCCCTCGCCCTCGTCTTCTTCGGCCTCCTCCGTGCACTCGAACTCCTCCGGGTCCGAGGGCAGCCCCAGCGGGTCGCCGGCGTCATTGCCCGCCGGTTCCAACTCGCCCCCCGCCTCGCCCAGTTCCTCACGGCGCTTTGCCCGTCGGATGAAGGGGACCAAGCTTTGTGCGTCTCTTGGCCCGTGTTCATGCCTGGCCCCTTGTGCCCTGTTGCGCCCTGTTGCGCCCTGCTGCGCCCTGCTGCGCCCTGTTGCGCCCTGTTGCGCCCTCCGCCCGTCCCCCTCTCTCCCTGCCTCCCGGGCTTGACGGGGTTCTCCGCCGTGCCTTCCGTGCTTCCTGCCCTATCCGCCCCCTGGCCTCGCCCCCCCCCCCTGCCCTCAACTTGCCTCCCCCGCTGACTCGCGCCCATGACCAGTCCGTCGCACGTCCATCCCCGACCTTTCGGCGCCGGAGGATCCCCCCACCGCCGGGGCCGGCGACGACTCCCACGCCTCCTCGCGCGAGTCGTCCCTCTCTTCGCTGACGGCCCCCGGAGCCACGCTCTTCTCGCGCGGGGCCCGATCTGGCTCCTCGCTGTCCTTCGCTTCGTCCGTGTCATCTGGGCACTCCTCGGCCACCGGTGGCGGGGGCGGCGGGGCCGGCAGCGGCCCCGGCAACAACCCCGCGGTCCCCGGCGGCCCGGCCACCGCGCACAGGCGCCCCAGCGCCGGGGGCCTGGCCTCCGGGCCCCTCGGCTCGGCCGGCGGCCCAGGCAGCCTGTCGCCCTCGCTCGGGGGGAGCACCCCGGGCCCGGCGCACAGCTACGCCCTGCGCCGGTCGCCCACCACGTCGGAGTTTGTGCGGCTGTCGCACTCGCGCGGCGTGGCCCGGCAGCGGCGCATCCTCTGGACCCTGATGGACGGGGTGAAGCCCTCGCCCGGGGCGGCGCAGCGCATCGCCATCTGCTCGGCCGTGGCCGCCCTGCCGCCGGGGTCGTCGTCCGGCTCCGGCGCCGGGGCGCATCTGGGCTTCTCCGGCTCCGGGTCGGCCCTGCTGGCCGGCCCGTCGCCCGGGGCCTCGGCCGCCTCCAGTGCCGGCGCCTCACCGGCCCTTTCGTCTGCCTCCTCGCCCTCGTTGCATGGGCCCGGCTCCGGGGTCGACCCCGGTGCCCCGCCCGCGGCCCCGGAGAAGCAAAAGTGGAACTGGCTCTTGCGCCGCGGCTGTGCGCCCCTCCATCCTCTCCCGCTTTCCTCCGCCCTTTCCGTGGGGTGGGGTAGGGGGGGGGGGGGGGGAGATTCCTGCCCCTCTCCCGGTCCCCACCACCCTGACGTGTTGCTGACATGCTTTGGCTGACCTCCGGCCTCCGGCCTCCTCCTCCTCCTCCTCCTCCTCCGCCGCCGCCGCCGCAGCTGTTTCGCCGCTGCAGGCCACCGTGGCCCAGACCACGGCCGCCATTCTGCCCGGGTCCTTGCCCGGGGACCGGCTGCTGTTGCAGCAGCGCCGGCAGCTCCTCCGGTCGCTGAAGCCCCCCACGCCCAAGGTGGCCGGGGTGCAGGTGTCGCCGACTCCGGTGACGGCTGCCACCTCCGGGCCGCCGCCCACCCTGGCCTCGGCCGCCAGCTCGCTGCTTTCGAGCCTGCGCAAGTCCCCGCCCAAGTCGACTGCCGGTACGCGCGGCCGGTTGCCCCCCCCCCCTCTCCCCCTTCTCCCTGCCGCCGTGTGCCTCTCTCGCTTGTGGTGTTTTTTTTATTTGTTTCTCCCTCGCGCCTCTTGGCCCCCCCCCCCCGCCAAGACGCCACGTGCCTTTTTTATCCCTCTCTCACCTGGTTCTCCTCCCCCGCCCCACTACCCCTGGGCCGATGCCTCGGATGTGGCAGAATACATCCACCTCCTGCGCCTGGCCATCCTGGACCGGAATGAGCAGCGCGCCATCACGCTGGTCTTCCACCGCCTGCCCTCGAGTAGCGCCTTCTGGCGGGAGTTCCACACCCGGCGCCTGAGCCGCGACATCGTGGTCCTGGCCATCCTCAACCGGCTGGAGGTGCTGGCCATGCTTCTGATGAAGCGCTGTGCCGAGGGCGCCGGCGTGGTGGTGCCGACCACCTCGGCCCCTTCGGCCCCCTTCTCCATTCCGGCCTCCTCCGGGACCAGCGGGTCGGACAAGGGCAGCCCTCCCGGCGCCACGGGCACCGGGTCCGGCGGGTCCACCGGTGCTGGCGCCGGCGCCGGCGCCGGCGCCGGCCAGTCGGGACCGGGCTCCGGGTCCTCCGGGGCCGGGGGCCCCGGGGTCGGGAGCTCGCTGCGCGTGGCCCCGGAGCTCATCCAGACCACCGGCAAGCCGACGGAGGCCTCCTCGATCCTGGCCCTGCGCATTGCGGCCGCCTCGATGACCGGCGACCCGGCCGCCGGGCATGGGGGCATCATTTGCGCGGTCCCCGGCGCGTGTCCGGCGCTGCCGCCCCGGTCGCAGGGGTGCGCCTGCGAGCTGGGCGTCGGGGACTGGTGGACCCGGCCCATTGTCACGGTGCGCTATTCGCTGACCCGGTCGCCGGAGCAGCAGCTGGCCGCGTCCAAGCGCGCGGTTCTGGCGCAGCGGGCCGCGCGGGCGGCCGCGCGCTCCGCCGCCGCGGCGAAGATCCTGGCCACGGCCAGCGCCGCCGGCACCATGGCGCCCGGCTCGCCGGGGCTGCCCTCCTCGTCGCCCGGCAGTCCGGGCTGCCCGCCGCTGGTGCCGACGGTGCCGGCCCTGGCGGTCGTCAAGTCCCCGCGGTGCACCTGCCCGCCGGGGGCAGCTGACCGGGTCACCGGTGTCGGGACCGGCCCCGAGCCGGAGCCCGGGCCCGGGCCGGCTCTCAATGACCCGGCGCACAATCTCCGCCGGCGAACGGAGCGCCTGCCTCGGGGCAAGCGGTCGGCGGCGGCCGCGGCGGCCGTGGCCGCCGCCACCGCCGCGTCCACCGACGAGCAGCGCCCTGCCGGTGGTGGCCGGCATGTGGCCGGCTGCCCGGCGGCCCTGGCGCCGGAGCCCCAAGCCCGGCGGCCGGCCCGGGCGCGCGGCCCTGGCGCCGCCCCGGCCTCGGGCTCTTCGAAGAAGCGCCCCTCGGCCGGCGGCCGGCGGCGCCCGCAGCAGCCCTCCCTGCCGCGATCCTTCCAGGGCATCAACCCGGTGGCGGTGATGGCCTTCCCGTCGCAGCATCGGCGTCGGCCGGTGCTGGCCGGGCCGCCGGCTCCGGGGACCGTGGCGTCGGCTTCCTCCGCGTCGGCCGGCGCCTCGGCGGCCTCGGTGGTGACGGTCCGCCAGCGGCGGAATCTCCTCCGGCGCCGGTACACCCGGCGCTTCGCCAGCGGGGTGTACACCTTCTCCCGGCGCCATTGCCAGGTGTACCCGCCGCAGCGGTCACGCATCCATGCGCTGGTGACGCCGCACTCGGTGGCCGGGCAGGCGCACCTCCTGTCGCCGCTGGGCCCCTGCGAGTGGCGCCATGTGCAGGCTCCATCGGTCTTGCTGCTGGCCATCAGCCAGCGCATGGACCGGCTGGTGTTCTCCATGCTCAATGGCGACTACGGCATCGCCGGGGCCTTCGCCAGTGTGGCCCCGCCGGCGCTGCCCTCCTTCTCCTCGGCCCCGGACCGGTCGGGCGACTATGCCAGCGCCTGGTATGGCCTGACTCCCCTCATGCTGGCGGTGGCCGTGGCCGGGCGCGATGTCGAGCTCCAGGGCCCGGATGCCAACAAGTCCGACCGCATCGTGCGCATGCTCCTGGCCGCCGGGGCCGATCCCATGTGTGGTGCGTGTGTTTTTTTCTGTGTTTTTGTGTTTTTGTGTTTTTGTGTTTTTGTGTTTTTGTGTTTTTGTGTTTTTGTGTGTTTTTGTGTGTTTTTGTGTTTTTGTATTTTTGTCTGTTTGTGTGTGTTTTTGTGTTTTTGTGTTTTTGTGTTTTTGTATGTGTGTGTGTGTGTATCTCTGTGTCTCTGCGTCTCTGTCTTTGTGTCTCGCTCCGACTGTGCGACGGGTCTTTGGTGCTGGCCAGCGGCGCGCCCACCCACTCGAACGTCAAGAGCCATCATCCGAAAGGGCCGGGGGCGGCTTGCTCTCTCTTCATTCCTCCCCCCCCCCTCCCCTCCATCTTGCTCCTCCGGCCACGCTGACCCCCATCTCGTGCGCCCGCCCCGCCCACCATCGCAGGCATCCCCTACACCCACTACCTGTCAATGCGGTCGCTGGTTCCGCGGCCGCTGGCCGGGCAATCGTTCGACATCACCGAGCGGTCGTCCCCAGTACGCGCGCCCGGCCTGGAGGGCTCGGCCGCGGCCGGCCCCCCGCCGGCGTTGCGCGATGCCCGGCCTGCCCCGGAGCGCCAGCTTCCGGACCGGCACTACTCGGCTTCGGCGCACCAGCCGGTCTTCGCCACATCGCTGCTGGTGCGGCTGGCGTCGGTGCTGGACTCGGACGCCCGGCGCCCGGCGGCTCGGCGCTTCTTCGGCCTCATCAGCGGGTCCACCCGGCGTGATCGGCGCTTGTCCATGTCCTCCACGCGGTCGCTCATGCTGGACCCCCCGCCGGGGTCGATCCTGAGCGTGCCGGCGGCGGCCATGTCCGCTTCCGGGCCCGGGGCCGGGGCCGGGGCCGCGCGGTCCAAGGCCAGCCCGCTGGCTGCGCCTGGCGGCCTCCGCGCCCCGGCCATCGCGGCCCCGGCCACCGCCTCGCACAGCTCCGTCTCCGACACGGACCCCGCCTCCGGCTATGACTACGACTACGACTATGACACCGACGACACGGATTACGACACCGATGATGATGACGATGAGGATGGCGGGGATGTGGCCGGCCTGCCGGGCCGGCCGTCGGCCCTGGCCCCGCCGTCTCGGCCGGGTGTTCCCACGTCCACCACCTCCGCTGCCACCGCGGCAGCGGTGCTGGCGGCGCCGGCGCCAGTCGCCCCCTCGGAGGCCGCCGTGCCAGCCATGGCACCGGGCGTGGTGGCTCCGGTGTCGGCTTCGGCCCCGGCCTCGGCCCCGGTGCCGGCCCCGGGCCCGAGTATGGCCCAGGCGGCCCCGGCCCCGGCCCCGGCCCCGGCCCCGGCCCCGGCCGCGACCCCCCCGGTGGCTCCCCCGGGCGCTGGTAAGCCTCCCGGCCGGCGGCCCTCGCTGGCCAGCCGCGCCGGGCTCAACCAGGTGTTCGAGTCCATGAAGCAGCGCTTCGGCCGGAACATGGTCACCGAGTATGGGTTTGATTGGCTGAATGCCGACGACCCGGCCGGCGGGCCCGCGGCCGCGGCCCCGCCTGCGACCACCATCACGCCCATCCCCCTGCCGGGTACCATCCCCGAGGAGGAGCCCTGCCTCTCGGAGTCGGGCCTGTCGCAGGAGTCGGACCTGTCGCTGGTGGTGGCCACCGTGGTGGAGGCGGGGCCCCGGCCGCCCTCGCCCTCGCCCTCGCCCTCGCCCTCGCCGGCCCCGACCGTGGCCCCGGCGCCGGCGATGGTGGCGGGGCCCACGCCAGGGCAGCGGCCGGGCCGCCCCTCGTCCGGGTCCTCGAGCGCCACCTCCAGTGGGTCCTCCTGCTCGAGCTACTCGGCCACCGACTCGTCGGCCTCGTATTCCAGCGACTCGAGCGACTCCGAGTCGGAGGATGCGCGCCAGCGGCCGGCGGCCGCCTCGCTGGCCCTGCATCCCCGGCGGCCGGAGGCCCATGCGCCGGCCGGGGCCGGCAAGTCCACGGTCGTGTCGGGCCGCCGGCCGGGCGGCTGCCAGTGCGCCTCCCTGCCGGCGGCCTTGGACCGGCATCTGGCGCGCTTTGCCCGGGCCGCGTGCGACCTGCCGCCCCCGTGCCGGCGGCGCGGGTGCCACCGGTGCGGCGGCCGCCCGGGCAGCGTGCGCCCCGGCGGCCCGCTGGGCATCGGCATTGCGCGTGTTTGCGCGCGGCCCGCCTCCCTGGTGCCGACCTTCCGGCCGCCGTCGACGCAGTGGCGCCCGGCGCGGGGCCTGCGCCGGCCCTGCTCCGACCCGCTGACCCCGCTGCACCGGCGGCTGGTCTACCCGCTGGATGTGGCCACTGCCTCGCGGTCCTCGGTCACCGGGGCCTACTCGCGCAGTGTCATGGACGCCCTGATTGCCAAGATGTCGGCCGAGGATGTGGCAGCCTGCTCGCTGGCGGTCCTGTCGCTGGCGGACCCGGTGCCGCCGGAGGGCGCCGTCGCGGGCACCCCGCCGCCGGGGGGGGCCCCCGCCTCGGTGACGGCCGGGCCCGGGGCGCCGGCCGACCCTGGCGCCGTGCCGCGCCTGACGGCCCCCTGCCTGGGGCTGGAGTCCCCGCCGCCGGCCGACCGGATTGCCTCCTCCCTGCACCTGGTCCGCCTGTTGAAGTCCGGCGCGCAGCCCACCTTCCGGTCGACCCGCGGCAACACGCCCCTGCATTTGGCCGTGCGCTCGGGCGATGTGTGCAGTGTGTGGATCCTCCTGCAGGCCTTTGCCGCGGTGGACCTGGTCCCCAGCGAGCCGCGGCTGGACCCCCTGACCCTGGACGAGCGCCTCCCCTCGGCCCAGCTGGCCTACTCCAAGGCCGCGCTCTTCGACGTGCCGGGTGAGAATGGCTGGTGCGTGTCCGGTCGCCCCGGGTGCCGATCTTTCCCCCCTCCCCCGCTGCTCCCGTTCCGCCTCCTGCCCCCCCCCCCCCCCGCGCTCCCTTTTTTTCCCCCCCCCCGCCGGCCCGCTGGCTTTTTGCCCCCCCCCCCCCCCCCCCCATTCACAGGACCCCCCTGCACGAGGCCGTCTCGCTGCAGAATCCGGCCCTGGTCCGGCTGTTGCTGCGATTCGGCTCCAACCCCGACGTGGCCACGGCCGTCATCCAAAGCCACGCGCCGCTGCCGGGAGATGTGCAGGCCCGGCTGGCCGTGCGTGACAGTCTCCTGGCCTCCGGGGCCTTCGACTCGCTGCCGGCCAGCTTCACCGGGCTTTTCGCCGGGTGCGGCGGGGCCCGGCGCTGTGCCGGCGGCCTGGAGTGTGCCCTGCTCCGGGGCCGGGAGGGTGCGTCGCTCCGGGCGCCGGCGTGGGCCCGGCTCCTGGCCAGCCCGGCGCACTTGGCCAGCACCCGGAATGCGCATTACCCCCTGGCTCCGAGCTTCTCCGGGTACCGAGTGCTCGGGCTGGATCCGAGCCCGGGCGATGATGCGGACACGTCGTCGCTCAACTTCCTGGCCACCGGGGACAGCCTGCCGGAGGGCAGCCTCACCGGGCCGGACGCCGCTTCCCTGCTCTTGGAGGTGGGCCTGTCGCCGCTGGCCGGGGGGGGGCCGGGCAGTGGCGGCGGCAGCCCCGCCTATGGGCCCGGCCACCCGGGCGGCCCGCTGGCCGGGCCCGGCGACGCATGCTCCGCCTCGTCGTCGTCGTCCTCCCCGCCGCCGGTGTTCACCACCATCAGCAGTGGCAGCAGCTCGCGGCGCATGAGCACCACCACCGGCTCCTCCTCCGGGGGGACCCCGGGCACCGGGTCCGAGGGGGCTTCTTCGCGCCCCCGGCGAGGCCTCCGCCGGCGCCTGGCCTCGGCCGTCCTGTCGGGCTTCTGTGCCCGGGCGTCGCCGCTGCACCTGGCCGCGGCGCTGCACCTGGAGGCCCGGCATGTGGCCCTGGAGATGGCCGAGGCCGAGGCCGAGGCCGAGGCGGCCACCGCGGCCCTGGGTGGCCGTCGGCCGCCGGCCGGGCCGCAGGCCGGCCACGAGGGGTCCGGTGCCGAGTACGCCGGGTCGGCCTTCTCGGCGCCCGCCTCGCCGGCCACGGCGCCGCCGGGCAGCGCGCCGGCCCCGGCCGGGCCCGGCCTCGACGGCCCGGAGTCCGCGATCCCCCTGCGGCCGGGGCTCTTCGACACGCCGGAGGCCAATGCCCTGCTGGCGGCGCGACTCATTCACTTCATGCTGGCGCAGGCGGCCGCCGCCCGGTCGATCCCGGCGGCGGTGCTGCGCGTGGCCAAGATGGCCGCGGCCGACCCCTCCGGCGGCGGGGCCGGCGGCAGCCGGCACTCGCTGACCCTCACCCGGCTGTCCATGTGCTCGGATGAGTATTCCATCCCCCTGTCCGGGGCGCCGGATGGGGTGACGGCGGCGGCGGCGGCCGCGGCGGCGGCCAGCCTGCGCGCCGGGTCTGCCCTCCCTCCCGGGGCCGGGCACCTGACCCTGCCCCCGGGCCAGCCGCAGCCGCAGCCGCAGCCGCAGCAGCTGCTGCACCAGGGGTCGGACTTCCAGAGCGCGCGGGCGGCTCTGCTCCGGCCGCGCGGGCCCGGCGGCGACATCCCCACGTCGCCGACCGCGCCGACCCCCCCGGCTCCCCCGGCGCCCGGGGCCTTCCCCGGGCCGGATGTCTCGGACGCCCTGCTGCACGCGGCCCTGGCCCAGCTGGATGCCAATCTGGATCAGTTCTTCGGCCACATCGTGGCCCCCATGCTGAAGGTCAGTGCCCCGGCGCAGCTTTCCTCGCCGGTGCTCAGCCCCTCGGGCCCGAACCCCGGGGTCTTCGGCGGGTCGTCCGGGGCGGTGGGCCCGCTTGGCGGCTCCGGCCTGCTGGCCGTGTCCTCCTCCTCTTCCTCGTCCTCCACCTCGCCCTCCTCCTCGCCGTCGATTGTCAACTTCCGCAAGCCCTCCTCCGGCGGCCTGGGCGGCGGCGGCGGCGGCGGCGGCGCCTCGCGCCGCAAGTCCTAAGGTCCACGCGCGGCACGCTCGAAGTGGCCCCACGCGGGGCCGCATGCGTACATGCATGGGCAGTCGGGTGATGGCCACGGCGGTGGCGGCGGCGGCAGCAGTATGCGCGTAGCTCCAGAGGCAGCGCGCGGGGAAGCACAGGGCGTAAGGGGGAGCAAGAAAAAAAAAGCCGTGGCACAGAGCCGAGAGGGAAGACCCCCAGAAGGCCCGAGGGGGTGGGGGGGGGCGTGCTCTCTTTGCCCCTCACCCCGCCGCCGGTTACCTTTCTTTAGACGATCCGCTCCCAGTTCCTTGTATATTATCCGGCGCGACGACGACGGCGAACTCCTGTCACCCTCCCCCTCCCCC